AAAAATAGAAAGGGGTTTAATGTCTTATGGACATAACCAGTATCATTTTGATCCTACTGTGAGCCAATATATACACTGGTGCATCTCTTGTACTCGAATGAGTAGGAACACTAACTTTCATGAACAGAAATGCAACAGCCTGATAGGGAGCCAAGTTTGAACATTCTTCTTTGAACCAGGGACATTTTAATTTACTTACGATTAAAGAATAAAGCAAAATATAATTTTTTTAAATTTTAAATGTTTAAAAAGATAATAGTATGCTTTTATAAGATATTTTTTTAGAGCAGTATAAGGGAGATTATAGGAAGCATCAGACAACTTACATTAAACATATAATTACAATAATTATAAAATTTGTATGTACTAATTTATCTGAAGATTGTATTTAATTAACAATGATTTTTTTTTCTTTTTTTGCTTTCTTCACCATTAAGGAAGTACTAGCACGAAGAATGAAAAGGCACAGTTAGTCTTGATGTGTTGACGTTCACTCGCTTATTATTATGTTGAGTGCATTTGGCTGTAATGTTTCCTGCCTTCAGTGTAACTTCATTTCAGATTGGTTTCGAGAGGCAGACCTAATCAGAGAATGCGGTTGTCATTTTGTATCTTAAACCAGTCTTGTTTATTTATTTACTATATAGCTTCACATAACCCATTGCAGCCATTAGCAAGGGCGTGGATTTGTCATAACTTTTTTATGGGGGTAGGGGTGGGATGGACGAACCCAGGAACCTGGAACATTTCATTACCAAATGAAATAAATAATTACAAACAGTTTACTGTACCACTTTTATTTCGATGAAGGCAATAACTAGGGGTAATATGATGACAATATGGAAAAATTGACTACCTACATCAAAGCTGCATAAATATTAATTGTTCATGAAGTTAAGTGAATCATCCAAAGACGTTCATTCTATGATCAGGACTGTTCTCTTTGAATATCTTGGCGACATGAAGGGGGGGTCATTATGCACCGCACATGCCATCAAATGTTTCAGTCGGTTTTGCGTCATGGAGTTGCGCAGCCAAGTTTTGATATGGCGCAGAGTGCTGAAGGATCACTCGGCTGAACAGGAACTAGCAGGGTTCAGCAATCTGAGATGAGAAGAGCTTCGACAGAAGGGAACAACTGCCTCACTTCAGGTGACATAATGAGGAACGCTTCGTACACAAGTGAAATCGATTCGGCTGAAAACTGGCGCTTGAAGAATGGCAATTCTTGTTCCAAGTCCCGATTCAGTTCCAGATAGTAGAAACAAGCTCACCATCATGTGGATATAAACCTGAAAATCTGTCCTGGTGATCAAAATCATGGGGGGGAACGAGCTAAATCTACACCCATGGCCATTAGCCCAAAAGGCTTATGTCATCAATTTTGTTTGTTGTGTATATATAGTCGTGTTCAGCTTCTCCTAATTTAGCTTGATGGAGTCAAACAACATTTTTATACGCCCACATGGAAATGTCGATGTATATTACCTCCGTCCGTCTGTTCGTCCGTCCGTCATCTTCAATTTCTTGTGAACGCTCTAACTCCAAAACTTATTATCTGATTGTTTTAAAATTGATATATGTAGTTTTAATAATAACACTATTACGCCAAAAGTTATAATCCGATCTGCATTATTTAAATTAGTGAAACGAAGAAGCTTATTGAATTTCAGCAATTTCCGTTTATTATGTATAGAATTATGGCCCTTGTTTCACTTTATTGAACCTTGTGAACGCTCTAACGCCAAAAGTTATCATTCTATCTTTGTGAAATTTATATCCATGATTCAAATTAGTGAAACGAAGAAGTTTATTGAATTTCAACAATTTCCGTCAATTACTTTTAGAGTTATGGCCCTTGTTTCACTTTGTTGCACCTTGGAAACGCTCTAACATCAAAAGTTATCTTCTGATCTGTATGAAATTTATATGTGTCATTTAAATTAGTAAAGAGATGAATATTATTGAATTTCAGCAATTTCCGTTTATTACTTCTAGAGTTATGGTCCTTGTTTCACTTTGTTGCACTTTGTTATTATGTGCCATTTAAGTTAGTAAAAAGAACAATCCTATTGAATTTCAGCAATTGCTGTTGATTACATCTAGAATTATGGCTCGTTTCACTTTCTGAACGCTCTAACGCCAAAAGTTATCATCAGATCTTTGTGAAATTTATATGCATTATTTAAATTAGTGAAACCACAAAGCCTATTGAATTTCAGCAATTTGCAATAATTAGTTCTAGAGTTATGGCCCTTGTTTCACTTAGTTCAACCTTGTTAATGCTCGATTATTGAAAGTTATCATCCGATATGTATGAAATTTATATGCATCATTTAAATCTGTGAAACAGAGGTCTGTTGAATTTCAGCAATTTCCGTCAATAATTTCTAGAGTTATGGCCCTTGTTTTACTTTGTGAATGTTTGAATGACACAAGTGATCATCCAATCTGTATGAAATTTATATGCATTATTTAAATTAGTAAAACGTAAAAGCCTGTCAAATTTCAACAATTTCTGTAGACTACTTCCAGAGTTGATCAGGTCCTTGTTTCAGTTTGTAGAACCTTGTGAACCCTCAAACGCAATCTGATTAAAATACAGATCTCTATTTAGTTTTTGTTTTTTTTATACTTTCGATGGCCTACACTACATGGAGATCTGACTGGTTGTAGTGATAAGGTTGCGTCAGAGGTCATACGAGCGACTTTTGACCTATGACCTATCACATTTGATTAACCAATCGGCATTGATGTTACTAGTGGATTACCCACAGTTTAAGGCAAAACACGCCTAAAGCTCGCCGTAACAGACAGTTTCATTGGCTAATAGCTGACATCATTCAGAACATGTCAATGATAACAACTTTTCCAGATCCTAGTGTAGTAAAGACAAGTAAAACGAAATTTGAACTATAAAAACAAAACGAAATAGGATCTGTGTTTTAATCAGATTGCTTCAAACGACAAAAATTATAATCTGATCTGTATGGAACTGTCTTGTAATGGCCCCCAATTACCTAGAAAGGAATAAATATGCGACAACTCTTGTCAACCGCTCGGACAATTTAGCTGCTGTGGGCATTGTTTCATTGCCTGACAACATGTCTTTTTTTGGATATATTGGGTGGTGTTTATTCTGATTTGCTGGACCTGATAGTGGTTGGGCAGGGCACCTTGGTTGGGCAAATTGATGTATTTGTGACTTCTTATCTAAAATGCTAGATGAATTTCCATCCAATTGCTAGGAATGTTAAATTGGTGATTCCTTGTCAATATTTGTTTAAATCCGCGGCTAGAAATACTTTAAATATATTTGACATTTTTTACCTATCCCACTTAATAGATTAAACAAAATAGATATGTTGCCTTTATAGTGATAATTAAGATCTGTTGAAACGAGTTGCTTGGGGTGGGTTTGGTGTCATGGGCAGCTTCAGGGGGTATATTTTCACATTTTATGACTTTTGACTTGTGTTTCAACAAAATTTTGTTCAAACATAATATTCCTTTTTGTGATGTCTTTGAAAAAGGTTGATGTTTCTTAGATTAAATCAAGGAATTAACAATTATTATTAAAGTTATTACATTGTAGGCATTCATATTCACACAAAGTTGAATCTTCAATGCACACATACTCTTAAGTTGGCTGATGAAGGCCCTTGAGCCTTTTGTTTACTGTTGAGTGCAGTTGACAGATCTGATATAAACCATATTGATTTTACATAAACTTTTGTCACTTCTCTATGTTTAATTCTATTGATTAAAGGATTGATCTTAAATTACTCTCATTAATGACAAGCAGAACAGATGATTTTTTTAATTAAATGTTTCAGTTACAAGAACATTTAATTAGTTTTATTGTATCTGTGTGTCATTTGGAATTTTCGGAAAATGCCATTTTTCAAGGCCTAATCCACACTAAAATGTATTCAGATTGATTATTTAACATTTGATTAAGAAAACTAAATCAAAATATCAACAATAGATAATGTCCCGGCTTGGATTCAGTTGGATTAAAGAGAGAGAGAAATGGGGTTTAACGTCCACTCGACACAAACTAGGTCAATTCGGGACTCACATATGGTTTAATTTTATTTACATAATTCGCTTACGCGTAGGGGTCTTTAGCAGTGAGAGGAAACCGGAGGACCCGGAGAAAACCCACGAGGTTGGACAGGCAACCCTACTCCTTGCCACATACAACTGGGGATTCGAAACCATGCCAGTCGACTCAATGACAGACTTTATGATTCAGCGCGTGCACGCTAAACATTCAGCCATCCAACCCCCCAGTTGTATTAAAAAGAGGCCCACAAAGGGTTGAGCAAAAATCATAGGTGACACTGGCTCTAGTTAATATATCATCATTTGCCGAATATTGACAAATTTTCAATTCATTTTAGTGATTCAGCTGTCACAGTATTGTAGTTTGCAAGGATTTGGTAATCCCTCGGATGTTATTCAGAGACTTTAATGGAACTTCTGAAAACAAAATGCTGGGAAGCTTCCTGAACTAAAAAAATTTTAAAAAATCATTTTCAATAAAAAATAATCTTGTTTTGTGTGTTAGCCAAGAAAGTTCATTGTGATTTCAGGTGTGGTTCCCCCTGTCAGTGGTGCTGGATGGAGGGCCTGGCAAGGGACAACACATAGTCATTAGGAAGGGATGAAAAACTAAGGTCCCGTGTACACATTGGGGTGCGTGTAAAAGAACCCTTGACAGTTGCAATTTGAAAGAGTTGCCTGCCCGCTATCAAGGCAAAATTTCCCTCATAGCACACTGTATGGTGTATGCAGGTCTTCATTAGCCCAGTCTGTGCAGAATAGTAGGACGTTAAACTCCCTTTCATTTTCACCTTTGGTTCAGATGTTTTTATTCATAGCTATCTCGATTGTTTTTTAAGATATGTCTAAAAGTCAATGATTCTGCAATAGGTATAGATTTTTACCCAAGATTTTCCTATTTCACGATTAATTATTTGTGTTTATACTTGCAGATGTACGTGAATGTTACGGTGTGTCAGTAGATTGGATATCAAACCATGTATATTGGACTGATTCTGGGAAAAAGACAGTAGAAATAGCTAACTATGATGGTAGTGGTCGCAGACTATTAGTTAGTAGTGGATTAGAAAAACCAAGGGGAATTGTTGTAGATCCCATCTTCAAGTAAGATCTTATTTTCTTTAGAACAGATAAAATAATGGGCTTAAAAAGAAATCAAAATCATTAATGTGACATGCAACTTATCCAATTGCCCTATAATAAGACACATTTCTTGTCAAACTAGTCTGTAGTTAAATTGCCAATTTGGCTGTGGCAGTATTCACATTGGTTTTACCCAAAGCTAATTTTCTGAAGCTCAGTAGGTTCAGAAAAAACTAAGATGGAAAGTTATGTTCACATGGATGAGGTTAGACTTCATGTAGAAGACTAGAGGGATCAATTCTCAATTCATTGCAATTGATTAGACTGTAATTTAAAACCTGTTGGTAAAAAGGACCTTAGATTCAGGATAATGAAAATGTCTGCACATTGAAATTTTATGTGAACAATGTCCAAGTTGAAAAGTATACATAATAAACTATATATAATATAAATGGCAAAAATTAGATGGAAAAGTAAATAGTGTCCCTTCTGGATAAATATGTATACTCTAAAGAAAATAAAAACGGCCCTGAACCATTCATAAATGAATTCCAGTGGGAACTGGATTATTTGATTTTCTAGGTTTAGATAGGTATATAATTTCTGCTGTGCTTTAAAACTTTATCACTCTTTAAATCAACCACCAATATTTTTTCTGTGCATGAGATATTAGTTCCAATTACACCAGTATATAGCCCTATAATATAAGATTAAGTAATGTTGTGAAAACTAACGATCATGTCTCAAAGGAGACTTAAGTATTGTGTGTTCTTTTTGTGCAAAATTTTTACCATACTGAATTGCCATAATGGATATAGTGATTGGGTAATTGAATTAGATTATGCAGATCAGTAACAACCAAAGCACTCTCTTTTCTCATTAGTAACACATTATATTACCATGGAGATATAATATAGTTCAATAATTTCAGTTTACTATCCACACTGTAATACCATCTTACACTGGGGATCTGAGGCTTTTATGCCAGTTGTTGACTTCCTAACTGCTCCAACAAACATGGATGGTGGTTGTGAATGTGAAACATGCGTTACTATGACAACAAGTACAATAAATATCAGAATTAAATTGATATGGCCGAGTTATTTGACAATTAATCCTTTGTGTTTGAATGATGTTGTCATATTGAACAATAAATTTTCCTTGTCATGTCACACATCAAAGTCCAACTTGCATGTACATGGCTTTCTACTTTTCATGTAATTACAGAACTTTCCAAAATGTTTATATCTTAAAGGGGAAGTCCCAGAGTTTTTCATTCAAATAAATCTGGAATTTTCTCCTTAATGAATATTAAAGATGATGTCTAAACATAAATAATTAAAGAAGTTTAAAGTTTAAAGTTTTGTAGTATGTATTTTAATGTTTGGAAAACAGTAAAGAATACTTGTCAATGTACCTACTATACATAAGAATTTAGAATCCTAAGAACAATACTTTGACCTGTAACTACATGGCAAATTGAAACCATTCGAGGCAAAATGGAAAAAATGTAAATGGATGTAAATTTCTTTCTCTTACTGTGTCACCTTTTATGACTTAGCTCTTTTTAATTCTGACTTCAGCTCAAATTAGAATTCGACAAGTCTATAATGTCATTCAAAGATTATTAGTTGCTAAGTGATATTAAAGAATATCTAAAACATAATATTAAAGTATAAATTTCAACTTTGATTTGAACTGTGGTAAATTCAACGCAATACTTGAAAGCACTTGATTAACATTGATTCACCATAAATATGGTATTTAAACAGCTGATTTGAAAAAATATTGAAGTGAGAAAATGATACTGAAATGAATAGACTTATTAAATACAGCCGTATTTTGATTTAAGAGCTATGCACTTGCTAGTTACATGGTTTGCACTTATGAAGTCTTGCTCGGGTCATGAATTTAATAAGGTTCAGTTTTTACCAGTGAGTTTGTTTATATTAACATGATGTAAAGAGCTCATAACAAGTAGTACACCAAAAAAAAAATAATGCTCCAGGAGAAAAATCTTTCATTTATGTTGGAGTTTAAATTTTTATTTGCATTCAATTGAACGAGTTAAATAGTAATTTCTAATTAACAGGAGGCACAGACTCATTTTTTAGATTTCTTCGTTGAGAACCTTGTCAAAGGTTTCACTTTGGTTATTGTCAGACCAATTTATGAATAATGGGACATCTTGAGCACCATTTTAAGAGATGTATTAGTCATGATGAATTGGTTATTATCTAAACATTGGGTCATTCCATGGTGTATTACTGTGAGCGAGACAGTCCTTATTATCTGGTTGATCACCTTTGTAAAGATGGAATACTATCAAGATATTATTACTGACAACACTTATTACATTCAATTTACACCCAGGATAAATCACTTAATATGGTCCATTTAAGGTGACGCTTATTGTAATTTAGACCCTGTTAAGATGAAATTGGACTCTGAATTTGCAGCAACTGTTACTCTAAGTAGTAATTGCCTTTAATCTGTTTTGTTTTGCTCATTTTTTGAGTTTGATAATTGCCTAAATGTGCAGTTAGGAAATGATCCGTTAAACGATGGAAGAGATTCAGTAACACCACCAGTGTAGTCACTAACAAGAAGGTTAATGATAGAATATCATGGAAGAATGATATCAGATCCTTTTAAAAGTTCTCTAAGGTTTAATGTTTTCTTATATCAATGGGACCATTGGTATATATCTGTATGAAATTCTGTAAGATTAAAATGTTTTTTGATTTCCCTATTTACAAGAGATGTACTAGTACCATAGAGTAGATACAAATACAGATATATTGAAAAACAGGATATTTGACCAAATGTTACATGATAACAAGTGTTAATTTGATTTAAGATATTAAACAACCATCCAGCATGACAGGATATTTTACCAAATGTTACATGATACCAAGTATTAATTTGATAAGATATTAAACAACCATCCAGCATGAATAACCATTTGTTCAGGGTTAGGCTGTAGTTGGTGATGCAACAAAACATTCCACGGAATAAGGACTGTTGCTTTTTCGATTGCTCAGTTAAATCACTATTGGAATAAGCAAATAGTGTGTTAGTAAAATGGAGCTAGAATAGTTTTATTAGGTTATTTCAACTTTAAAATGACAGCTATGGGAGTTAAAATGTCACAACAGAAACAATTGAATTAAAAGGATAACATTTTGTCACAGGTGTAGGTTTCCATGTAAAGTTTTGTATCTTGTGGAATTTCATGATTTAATTAATTTTAAAGTGGAGCTGGAGCTATAACATCTGTAACAAATTATAGGTTTACTTATATATGACCTTTGTGTAAGTATAGGATAATTGTAACAATTACCTAGCTAATATACACATGATGAGTAGCAGAAGATAATTTGTAATAATTTACTTGTAGGACATTTTCTAAACAACAGTCGATTAGCTCAAAACATTGAAATGTGTAGCTCCAGTAGGGTTCAATATAGTTCATTTTGCATCCTTTTCGGGGACTTGTTTTACAACTGCGGTCGTTTATTTTAAAGAGGCAATATGACTTTACTAATACTTAACACAAGAAATGATTGAAAAAAATATGGACTAGGTAGTTGTTAATCTCTTGACCGTGATGCATAATGTATGCAAATAAAATATATCACAGACCATGACAGAATTTGTAATACACTCACATGGAATAAAGATGTAGGTTAATGTAACTGCAAACTGACATAGCTTGTTTAACCATTAACCTTCTTCTTTGGTAAGAGTACCAGTACTTTTGATTTTGTATGAATGAGATTAAACTATATATTTGATGTTTATTCTGGCATTGGCTAATGTTCCCTTTAAAGAATGCTATAACCAGACTCTTGCCTGAAAGTATTGCATTGGGACCCTGTTTTCAATCAGTCTCTTAGAAAATATGAACACTGTTTGAACCTGCATGACCCCATGTAAAAAAAAAACCAAGACAATAGAATATTCTATTTCTGGGAGAATTGAAAAATAAAGAAAAACATTCACATAGAGCTGAAGCTTTGGCCATGAAATCCAATTCAGCTCCTTATTATTCTGGACACGCAGCTATTTTCAGGCTAATGATATCAAAACAAACACAGGAGCGGAATATAATCAACTATCAATATTGTTATCATGATAAAGACAGACTTGCATGATAATGCCAAGTGCTCCATAATTGTTATTTGACCATTTGGTTCTAGTATGTTCATTTACACAGAAACGCAAACTTGATAGGGTAATGTCTATAAAGTTCTATGCCTAGAAGATATACGAACCTGTTGTAGGATTTAATGGAAATGGTTTTCCTTATGTTTACATTCTATCAATGTTTCAAGGTTTTCAACATGGTTCTGACACTATCTTTATTTATTTTGCCCTTAGTATATTTTGGAAACATGTTGGTGCTTGGTAATTGAATGATTCATTCTATGTCTTCTATGAGGGTTGATGTTTATATAATAAGCATCATCTTTCTCTTTAGGTAAATCACAACTACTCTTTCACATTATTATATTATTATAACTAAAAGAGTCTATTATGACAATTTCAGTCATGTCAGTTAGAAAATATGAATGATAATTCTTTTAGTTCTGTCCTTGTTAATTTGTTTTTATACTTGTTAGCTTGAAATGGTTCCATTAAATGGAATGCACTGACACTCTAAAGAGATTTCAGTGGATTGGTATACCAAAGACTTTGGCTTGGTGATTGGTCAAAATATAATGGATTCACCAAAAAAACACCAATATAGCTTTTGAAACAGTAAAGTTTTATTTAAATGAGTTATTGGAATTGCTCATGATGAAGAGGATTGGATTGTAATTTGTGAAAACCAAGGACAGTACAAAATGTCTTCTTGATTTGCACTCCATTATATTAGGGAAGCAAACATGAAATGGAAAAAGCTTTTCTTTCTGTTATGATATAATTCTGCAAATCTTCGGAAATTATAATACCAAAGTGACAGTCCTAGAAACTTGATTCAAGTTTTAAACATGTTATAGAAATAAATTGGTTGT